CTGGCAGGTGTGCTATTATATTTATTTGTTCTGGAGATGTAAATTATAGCAGCGCAATGGCATGTGTGTTTTTTAGTTGATTTGTTTCGTTTTAATTGCTAATAGGGTACTTACAAGTGTATATACGATGGATGAACCTGAAAGTAGTAGGCCTGAAGAGGTCAATACTGAAATTGATGATCAATTTGCTCTAGATGGCAAGGATGATGTTGTTGATGTGAAAGAAGGGTTAGCTTCCCAAACCTATGATAGTTTACGAATGCTTACTAAGGAAGATGTGTTGCAAATGAAATTCAATTCAGAGGATGATGCTTATACTTTCTACAATGCATACGCTAAGGTCATCGGTTTTAGCGTACGAAGAAGTAGAAAAAGAATTACTGGAGACAACAAATTTGTAGAGAGTAGGAAATGGGTTTGTTCAAGGGAAGGTGTAAGAGAAAAGAAATACTTGCAACGTGTGGAACGGGTAAGAACTCCTAGGGCAGAAACTAGACTTTTTTGTAATGCCGCATTTCGTGTGCGTTATGACAAGACAGCTAGGAAATATGTTGTGACCCACTTTGTAGGGGAACACAACCATCCGTTGGCAGCACCACACTACGTCCCCTTTCTTTGGTCGCTTAGGTTTGTAACAAGTGCAGACCAAGCTCAAGCAAAGGCCATGCGCAATGTGGGTATGAAAACGAGTCAGATCATGGATTTTATGGTCCATCAGTCAGGGGGTTATGAGAAGGTGGGCTTCATTCACAGAGATTTGCACAATCAATTCCAAGCTGAGCGCAAAGTACAACTCGCAGAAAGGGATGCAGAGGGTGCGTTAGGATACTTGTCAGCTAAATTAGATGCAGATCCATTATTTTTTTTCAAATACAACGTCGATAAGGACAACCGGTTGGACAAGATTTTCTGGGCAGATTGTAGGTCTCGAATGGATTATGCTGCATTTGGTGATGTATTGGTATTTGATACAACTTATCATACAAATGCATATAAGAAGCCATTTGTAATTCTAGCTGGCGTGAGTAACCATTTCATAACAACTATATTCGGATGTGCTTTGTTGCCTGATGAGACAATGGAGACATACACGTGGGTGCTGGAAATGTTAATGGAGGCCATGGATGGTAAAAGACCCATCTCCGTTGTAACAGATGGTGATAGGGCAATGCGTCAGGCAATCAAAAGAGTTATTCCAAACTGCAGACATCGTTTATGTTCTTGGCATCTGGAGAAAAATGCCTCAACAAATGTCCACATACCAGAATTTACAACTGATTTTGCACAGTTGATGTTAAAGAAATGTAAAATTGATGAGTTTGACAATGCCTGGGCTGCTATGGTGAAATAGTACAAGTTGGAGAACAATAACTGGGTGTTGGATATTCATCTGAAGCGTGATAATTAGGTTGAGGCATATCTCCGTGGTCACATGTTTGCTGGAATGAGGAGCACTCAACGTGTCGAGGGTATGAATGCATATTTCAATATATTCCTAAACCAAAAGGTTAGGCTGTATGAATTTGTAGCGCAGTATGATAGGGCTCTTGCTAAAATGCGTGTTAATGAGGCAGAAACAGAATCTAAAATAGAGAATAGTTTCCCGGTTTTGACTACGCCATTGAGGAGTTTGGAGAAACATGCAGCTGAACTCTTTACTCGGAAGATTTTCTCATTGTTTCAACATGAAATCAGGAAAGAGGGTAAATTGTTTGTGATGGAAAGAGTTCAGCTGGAGGATCATCGCACCTACCGTTTTGGTGAGTACAAGGCACCAACATGCACGTGGACGGTTGAGTATTTTCCAGCTAATATCACAATGAAATGTTGTTGCTTGAAGTTTGAGTCGTTTGGCATCCCTTGCTGCCACATGATTGCTGTTATGAAATCTGAACAATTAATGTGTATTCCACCGAGTTGTGTCTTGCAGAGATGGACAAGACGTGGTAGGTCAAAGTGTCAACAACCAAGTCTTACCCAAATTTGTAGCACCCTAACACAGACAGCTCGGTTTGGTATACTCAGCTCCTGTTTTAGTGAAATGTCATATTATGCCTCACACGCGGACAAAGATTTTGAAGAGGCAAGGGAAATAGCTTTCCAGCTGACATCGCAGATGAAAAAACGTTGGGCAATGAGAAAAGAAGGTAACGCCGAGGCTGGGGACAAAAATATTGCACCCAAACTATATGGCGTTGGTGATCCGAATGTAGTGAAGACCAAAGGGAACCCCGGAGGGACATCTTCTATGGGTAAACCTCCAAAACCAAGGCGGTGTGGGTATTGTAGGTATGGTACTTTCATTGTATGACCTTTTTATATCCTGTTACATGCATATGATTATTAAAATCGTTTATGCATTATTTGCTACTGTAGGAGCATCGGACACACGAAGCGGATGTGTAAAAAATTGGCTTCAAGTAGCCAGAGAGAGGGTAGCAACTCAGACAGTGAACCATTCATGAACACAGAGTTGGATCCCCACACGGATGATATCGATGAATTGCCAATTTATCCAAATGATCCAGTGTAGTTGACTTTCATGATGAGGCTTACAGTGATCGAAACATTGTTTTTAGAATGAGACATTAGTGGCTAGTAGTTATGTTTTGTTAATGTCTTAGTTGTTTTAATCTTAGGCATTCTTAATAAATTTCGTAGTTTGGAGAATAATTTTAAAAATAAAGGTGAAAAAATTCCAAATTTGTTTGATTGCTGATAAAATAGGGACTTGCTCATGCCATTACTTTACAAATAGTCACTGTTAATAATACCGAACTGTCTCTATTTTTCTTTTGTAGATTTTTCTAATTGTCTGTTTGCTTGGTAAGAAATGGTGGACATTGCTGTTAGGTGACACATAACTATGCTTACAGTGGAATGGTATGGTATCGATGTATAGGTATAATAAGAGATGATCGAGATGTGAATTGCTAAAATATAAACAACTTCATCACCCAACAAAAAAATTAGTAACATGAACCCAAGTTGTCATTCAAACAATAGTGTAGCATTAAACCAACTTTGCAAATGTACTTCCTTAAAACTAAAAGCATCTAAGAAAATTTTGGACTGGAGCCTATTGATGCAGTCAAATTAGGACTTGAGCTTATTTGGCTATTTGCTCACACAAGAGATCTGAATCATGGAATAATCTTCATTTTGAAGTAGTCGAGAGTAAAAATTACAACTGCTTATAACAAGTGAGAGTACAGTAACTTGACTGTAATGATCCAAATCCATATGCAAGGCTACTTTCCTTCACCCAGGTCATAGAAGATGTAGAATCCTCATTATGGGTAAAAATCAAAGGTGTTGAGCGGACTAATGAATCATGACAAATGTTGGATATTCTCATGTCTACACATGTGTTAGACACATTTGAAACTAACACAATTAACTTTTAGGTGTTTCTTAAAAAGTGAATGTGTTTGGAAGAATTTTCCTAAAACATTTTTCGAATTTAATTATAAATTCAAAAATTGCCTATGTTTTAATATTTTGACTTGAGTGTTTCTTCCATTGAAATATTTGACTTAATATTTTTTAATATTTTTGACTTAATAAATTTCGTAGTTTGGAGATTAATTTGGAAAATAAAGGTGAATAAACTCTAAATTTGTTTGATTGCTGATAAAATAAAGACTTGCTCATGCCATTACTTTACAAACAATCACTGTTAATAATACCGAACTGTCTCTATTTTTCTTTTGTAGATTTTTTTAATTGTCTGTTTGCTTGGTAAGAAATGGTGGACATTGATGACTGAAATCAATAAGGTTTTAATATATTTGCATTTGTCATTGTATGATTAAAATTTGAATCTCTCCAATGACGTACATATGTTTTAATATGTTTGGATATTACGTAGGTAATTGAAGATGCCACGGAAAAAGACAACAAAAAAACCGAGTAAAGGAAAAGCGGAAGCTCCTCACGTTGACCTTGGTATTTTTGCTAAACGGGCTATTACGGTAGAGCGGGCTGTCAAGTTGAAGGAGTTAACTCATACTGATATTCCAGCAATTGTGGGCCACCTGCATATCCAAAACCTAATCGAACGGGAAGGGAAGGCTAATGTCAACCTGGTACGGGAATTCTTTGGTAGCATACAAAAGCCAACTGATACAGAGAACTTGATTCTGAAAACAAAACTGAGGGGGAAAGATGTGGTGTTTTCCGCGGATTGCATATCAAAATTCTTAGACATTCAGCGACCAACACATGATGACAAAACACAATATCCATACCTTCCTGGTGTTGACCTTCCTAATGAAGCCCAAATTGTTGATGATTTGTACATCGAAGGAGTCATACCACAAGACAAGTATCATGTAAAGTTCCTGAAGCCTGACCTTGCCGTTCTTCATCTTATCTTGTGGTACAATCTTGACCCAAGGGGGGTGAAATCCACTTTTGACCATGAACAAGCACTCATGTTGTATGCTGTCCATAATTTCAGCCCTCTAGATGTTCCGAAGATAATTTGGCAAGTTGTGGATTCTGTCGCAAAAGCAAACAATAAACACATGCAACATTACCATTCGGCCTCTCGTGACTGATATGCTACTTGAGCTCTGTGTACCGACTCGACCAGATGATGAATGGAAGGGGCAGATGAGCCACATAGGTCGTGGAACGTATGGGAAAACACAAGGGCAAAGTCGAACAAGGGCAAAGTCGAAAGCACCGTGAAAGACAAGATCCTACTTCATTGGAGAGCATATCAACTCGTTTGTACGAGGCTGTGTCCATATTAAACCGGATGGAGTTGCAGCACAAGAAAGACATGGGGAAGGTCAAGTTAGAGCTAAAAAAAATGCGGAAAGCCTTTTGTGGTGAAGATTTTGAGAATTCAACTAGTTCTAATGATAGTGAGCAGGAATCTAATGGGTCCAACCATGATGACAGCCAACAAATGGACACAGACAATGATAGTTGAACAAAGTTTGCAAGGCCAATGATTTAGCTGACACTGTTACTTTTTTTCGCATACAGTGTTACTTTTTTGTGCAGAAAGTGTCAACTTTTTTTTACAAACAATGTTACTTTTTTGTTTTTTTTTGTTTTTTGTAGATGACTTTGTTGCGTGGACTTTCAGAGTAATATTTTGGTGTATGGAGAAGAAATTTCACTTTTGTATAGAACTAATGTAATACTTTTGTTATCCCCGGCGTTTGTGTAGTTCACTATTACTGATACAAAAAACTTTTGGCAGCCAACAGATAATTACAGGCATGGTACATGGATCACCTTTTGTTGTCGTACATATATATGGTTTTTTGTCGTGGTACATAGATGTACTTTTGTCTTGGTACATACATCACCTTTTGTCGTGGTACAGATTACGTGATAATTTGTACCATGCCAAATAGTCATTTCACATGGTAGTAAATGTATTTTTTGTATATGGAAGGCTTTACTTTTTGTATGATTCTATATTTTGTATGAAATTATTATTTTAATTTAGACAATAGTTGGTTTGTGTGTACTTTGACAGTTAAAGTTATTTATTTTTTGTATACAAAAATTGACTTTTGGCGACTAAAAATTTAGTCGCCAAAAGTGAAAATTCTTGTAGTGTGTGTCAAAGTCATTTATACCCGACGTCATCATTTGGACATAATGACAACATGACACTAGTAGTGGCAACAATGCTATTATAATGGGCTAAGTCGATGATGATGGTTGTGTTTCAGTGGATCAAAGGGCATGATTAATTGAAGTTGGTAACAATAACATTGCTGTTTAATTCACTAATAATGACAACGAAAGAAAGAGTGAGAGTGAGAGAGAGAGAATTAAAAACGAGAAACGTAGTTGGAGTGTCATGCGTTTTTGTTAGTGATAATGTTTGAGGTAATGAAAACACAAGAACAAAATTACATATAAATGGCAACCGATAAACCGATCAATTACTATTCGAATATTGACTAAATTGATATTAATGATTAGGCTTTTACTAATTCATTGAGAACTATGAATAAGTTGGGAATTAATTGGTTTAGTGTGGCTTATGAAAACTAATTGATTACTGAATCAATTAGGTTTATTATATCAAGGATCCCTACAATCAATTGTACAATCAATTGTCCAATCAATTGTCATATTTCAATCTCCCTTATATTCTAATGGATTGTACAATCAATTGTGAAAGTTCAAAACTCTAGCCACTAATCGATTGTATAATCAATTGTGGTCTTCCAATCCAATCGATTTTGCAATCAATTACGATTTTCCATTCACTCCAATATGCTATACCAATTGATTACACAATCAATTGTGTTTGAAAATTTAAAAGTTATGATGTTTTGTTAATGTTGTTATTATTTTTGGGACAAAATTATAATCAACATGCCATGTTATGATTCATTGATAAAAGTTATGATAGTTTGTTAATGCCGTTATGATTGTGGGAAAAAAAGTTATACTCAATGTGTTATGGTTATGAATCGTCACTAAAAGTTATGATTTGTACCACCAAAAGTTATGATTTACCATGGTGAATCATAATAAAAAATGTTATGATTCAAATGTTATGATAATTAATTACAAATAACTATATTTGTTATGAGTTGTTATCATATTGTTATGATTTATAGTGTCTTTGTTATGACACTTTGGTGAATATTATGAAATTGTTATGATTCATTGTAATACTGTTATGATATTACAATGAATGTTATGATTCTTTCTGTAACTTGTTACATGACCGGTTTAGCAGGTCATTGTTTATGATGTGACACGATATGAGCCATAGAATAAGTACATATCATATATCCTTTTATAAGGTGCACATTGTAGACTTTTCTAATTTTTTATATCCCTAGTATTACTCTATTTCTATTATCGGTTTGGTCCAAATCATTACATTACGAGTTGTAACTAATAAATCCGCCAACTGTACCCAACAGGGTACAATTTGTTAAACCGCCACGAATCCAGAAAAACAACCTTTTTTGAAAAAAAGCCATTCATCCATGTATGTGTCGCCACTATATACATACACGACTTTCCTAGTTTTCTTCTCTCTTCTCCTTCGATTTCCTCTCTGAATCTCTTCGATTTCACCGCCTTCTCTCTCTCCTACCCATTAGGGCTTTTCGCACCCTCTTCTCTTCGCTCGATTCTTCCCCAAATCTGAGCCCAACACTGTGATTTCGAATTGACCCAAGACATGGCCTCTTTCTCTGTCCCTTGCCCTAAAACCTCTTCGCTATGCACTGCTTCCAATCCGACCGCAAAGCACCGTCAAAAGCCCCAACACTGTTCCGTTTCCTTCCAATCGACCTCGCTCGCATTGCTCGCTGGATCTTCCCTCAGATTTCAGGTTAAATTGGCTGAATTTATTCTCAATTGATGATATGTATATATATATATATATATATATATATATATATATATTTGTGAATTTGATAGTCATTTTAAATGTTGTATGTGGAAATGAAAAATGGGTAGGTTATAGTTTTTAGAAAAAGTTTGTGTGTGGAATGTTAGGAAAACTGAAATTGAAAAGCACATTTATGGTGGTATTTGAGTCATAATACACACATGATCTTGTGTGATAGTTATGGAAATTTTGTTCCCCTATGGCATTACATTACTCTTTTCCTATTTGGGATATAGTTTCTTCTTGTAACAAAATTGTTAGTGGAATTCAAAAATGTCAAGCTATCCGAATTTTTTATTTTATTTTATTTTGTATATATATAGAAAAGAAATGTTTATGTAGAATGAAAGTTGAAACTTATCTATGACAAGCTGTACATTTTCCCAGTTAGTGTGTAAACATTGAATTCTTTCTGGCACTATAGCTTGAATAGTAAAAAAAAATTTGGACTTTCGCAAGGATTTTACTTTTTAGGTGCATTTAGATTATTTGGATAAAAAAAGTTTAAAAAAAAAATGACATGGAAAATGTTCACTAAACGCAAAAACAAAAAACTCAAAAATGGATTTTGAGTTTGAAAACCAAACAAGATGACTTGACCAGACCACTAAATTGCCAGTTGCCACTAACCTGCCAACTGTCAGTGGGTGAAGTTCCTCAAACCGCCACCTGGGGCCGGAGGGAACTCCAAACACGAAACCCCTAGCTCTCTCTCTCTCTCTCTCTCTATCTGCAACTCTCTTTCTATAAAGCACTCCATCATTCTTCAACTACAGCAGCAGCACTCCACCATTCTGCAACTTTCTCTCTCTCTATCTGCAACTTACAGCAGACCTTCTTCATTCTCTTCGCTCTCATTCTTCGAATTCCTCTCTCGATCTTACCGCCCTATCTCTACTACAAATTAGGGTTTTGCGGAGGCTTCTCTCTGCTCAATTCGCTGAATCTGAGTTCTTCTTTCTCTGATTATGATTGGGAATCAATCAACAATGGCCTCTTTGTCTGTCCCTTGCCCTAAAACCTTTGTCCTATGCACTGCTTCTCAGCTGAGCCCAAAGCAGCGTCAACGGCACCGATACTGTTCCATTTCATTCCAGACTGTCGAGCTCGCTGGCATTGCTGGCCGGATCTTCCCTCAGATTTCAGGTTAATTCATTCCTTTGGTTGGTTCTAGTATAGCTGAATCTATCCTCAATTTATCTCAGAACCAATTTTTCACACATATATATATATATATATATATATTTGTGTTTGTGAATTTCATAGCCATTTTGATGTTGTAAGTGGAAATGGAAAATGGGTCGCTTGTTGTTCTAGAAGTTTCTATAGGTGTCAGATTTAAGCTGTAAATGTTGGGCAAACTAAATTTCCTATCTAGAATGATGTAGCAGTTGCAGTTTTGAAATTGTAAAGCATATTGATGGTCGTATTTGAGTCAAATGGCCCACGTGATCTTATATGGTAGTTATGGAAATTCTGTTTCTATGGCATTACTCTTTCCTAGTGGGGACATGGGGCATAGTTCTCGTAATAAAATAGTTATTGGAATTCAACAATTCAAGCTATCCAATTTTGAATTTTTTATGTTTTTTTTTTAAAGAGTTTAACTGCTACAGGTTGTGCTCGTTTTTTCAGAATGGTAGTTGAAAATTATGTATGATGTGCTGTACATTTTCCCAGTTAGCTTTTAAATACTAAATTATTTCTGGCACTGTATGGATTGAATCCTAAATATGTTACTGGGTGCTGAGGGGACAACACTTCTATGCTGGCTTAATTTTTTGTTCAGACTGCTCTCAAACACAATAGTTTATATTACCTGTTTGCGCAAAGTACTTCATAATCCTAGTTTTTAGCAACTTGTCTAGGTGCCTATCTTCATTCAAAATATACACGAAACAAAACAAGAACAAAGGAAAGGGGAAGTGAAGCTGTATGGGCAATAATTTGTTTCTTATCATATTGAAAATAAAAAAGTGAACAATTACAGTAGTGTGAGGTAACTGAGAGTAGTTTTTATCCATGTTTCAATTTTATTGCTGATAATCTAAATTATCCATGATTGCATGATTTCTGGCCAACTATTTATCCATTCTTTTTCGGGACCAGTCATATGCTATCTGGTTTGTTATTTGACTGTGATATGGATTGTTTGGTTTTAATATTTTTGCAATTTGTTTTGTTATTATTTGGCAGGGGTCTAGGCAAAACCAATCTGATCTTTTCAAGGTGTCTGCCCAGCTGAATGAGGTAAGCTGCACATGTTTAAAGAATCTTTACACTTCACTGTCCTCTCTTCTTTCTATTCTCCCTTTTGTATATTGATGTGGCCTTTCTGCTCGATCTAAAACCTGCCCTCCACATCTAAGGTTGCTACCAAGAAATCTTCAAATTCTGCAGCAGTTCTCGAGGCAAAGTCAGAGGAAACTGCAAAAGAATCTCCTGCTCAAAATACTGTTCCAGATGTGTCATCCATTTCAGCATTTATGACCCAAGTGGCACACATTGTTAAGTGCGTTAAAACAACCCCATTCATCTGTTCACAGAGTGTTTCTGTATTTTTCAGAACATATGTTGGACATGATTTATTTTCTTCATTGTCAGGCTTGTAGATTCAAGAGACATCATGGAACTGCAGCTAAAGCAATTGGATTGTGAACTCGTTATAAGAAAAAAAGAAGCTTTGCAAGTTGCAGCTCCTGTAGTTATGATGCAACCCCATTCTGCCCAAGCCATGGTGCCATCTCAATTCCCTCAAGCGCAGGTCAGTGCTCCTATTCCCTCACCTCCAGCTTCAGCACCAGTGCCGCCTAGCCCTGCAAAACCAAAATCGTCCCATCCTCCACTGAAATGCCCAATGGCTGGAACATTTTATCGTTGTCCTGCACCAGGAGCTCCTCCTTTTGTGAAGGTAAATGCATATTGCTTTCAATTGTGCGTGCGTGCAAGTGCAGGCATACTTGTACTTGGGTGGATGTATATGTGTGTGTTTGTGAGATGAAGAAGTTATTGCCAAAATGACTCAAAATCTTGAAGAAAGTTTTCATTTTTTATCTGTAACAAATTATCTAGTAAAATTTTTATACTGTTATCTTGAATACTGATGATGGGTTTCCCTTCAAATGACCCTGAAATTCAGATTAATTTGAATAATCCTCTATAATTAGTTTGTATATGAATATTCATGGATAATGCATAATTCTTAAATCATTTTGAATAATTTTGAAATTCTCCTCTTCCCGTATTGTCCGCCAGCCCATTACTTTTGTTTCTATTATGTGCTAGATTTTCTCTATTTATTTATTTATTTATTTTTTCCTTTTTCAAGATAAAGTACAACTTACAAGTCATCTTAAAAATCTCTGATTTCTGATTGTGGTTCTCCAGGTAGGAGACAAGGTCCAGAAAGGCCAGGTAGTTTGCATCATTGAGGCCATGAAACTGATGAATGAGATTGAAGTAAGTCTCTTGATTTAATTATATATATTTTTTGGTTCTGATTAATATGCTTACTGAGATGGCGAAAAAATAGAAGCTTGGGAGTTCTAGTTGTCTGGTTTAAGATTCTTTGCACCCTAATGATTAACTAGGAAGATTTCCGAAGGAAAGGAAAACTGGAAAGTTCCAATAGGGCCCTGAAGGTCAGACCATCAAAACATATTGACTGTAATTATTCAGATAGAATATCAATTTTGAATTTTGAAATGCTGCATAAATGAGATAGAAAGAAAGGTAAAATCATCACTTTTGAGTAATAATTTTTGGCTGTGAAAGCTTGATTGTAGATTCTGCAGATTCAATACTTCACACAAAAATTTGCCAACAAACTCAATTTTTAATTCATGGTATATGGGTGCCTTGATATTAAATAAAATTTCCCTTTTGTTTCTCTCTATCAGGCTGATCAAGCTGGAACTGTAGTTGAGGTACTTGCAGAGGATGGGAAACCAGTTAGTGTGGACATGGTCTCTCTCTCTCTCTCTCTCAAATAAATTTCTTTCCTTGTTTCAATTTCTTTAATTATTCAATGCAGAGTCGATTGTTGTCTAAAACATTCCATTCCTTTTTTGCAGCCTCTATTTACCATTGAGCCATGAAGAATTAAGCAATGTCTTCTTTTATGGATCCTTGGTGCACGGAAGCATAGGATGAGTTTGAGCTTAGTTAATTTATGTTCTTCCTAGTTTGAGCATAGTTCGTTTGTGTTCCTACACTTAATTATGTGTTTGTTAGATCTTTCTTTGTTTATTTATTTTTCTTTGTTTTTTTACTTGGACTCATAAATTTTGAAGCAATAGAACTATTTATATTAGATTTTACTGCATCTCTTCTTTAAGCTAGTGCCATGTCTGCATGTTGAAAGGTTTTCATACTCTTCTTGATTGTGTAGCTCTATTACGTCTTTTGAGTTGCCCAGGTTCTAGTCTTAATCTCAATTGTTGGAAATTGACCGTGTTTTAATAATTTTGCCTAAAAATAATTATTTGGGGGTGTTCGGGACGGGCTAAATAGTCCATTTCAGACTAAAATAGCCAATAAAACAAAGGAAAATGATCCGTAGCTCAAAAGTGTTGGGCTCGACTAGCTTGAAAGTACTAGTTTTCTCTCTCCTCTCTATCTCTTTGCTTTCCTCTCCGCCTTTGTTCACTATATTCTCGAAACTCTCTGCACTCTCCACTCTCTCTCTCTCTCTCTCTCATCTTTGGTTGCAGAATGAGGAATCACTCTCACCTTTCTCTTTACTCATCCCTCTTATTCGATAGATCTCTCTCATCACCTTTCGATCGCTCTCTGGTCGCAAAAGGAGTACGAAGGACGACGGACGATGAACGATGGCCTAGGACAGCGAATGACGGACGAAAAGGAATCTGATGTAAACCTAAAATCGTAAAGTTAGAGTTTACGTTTGGCTTCAATTTGTGTAGAAATTAGTCAATTTGGCTTGCAATTTGTGATAGGGTTTGAGATTTGGTTTTAATTTGTGATGTGTTAGGGTTTGGGATTTACCTTTAATCTATTATCCTCTACATATATTGGTTTGGTTTTGCCTTGAATTTGGTTTTACTTGAAATACACCTGTGTGGTAAAATACGCATCTGTTTGGTATACATATGTTTGTTTTTGGTTTTAATTTGGTTTTGCTTGAATAGTTATCCAACTAATACATTTTTTTATGGTAAAATACACGTGTTTGGTTTGAAGTTTATGCATATGTTTTCAGATTTGCTTGAAATCTGTAAAATATAAACAATCTAATCTGTGTTGCAATATGAGCTATCAGTTTGGTTTTGGCTTTAATTTGGTTGTGCTTGAATAGTCATACATCTGTTTTCAGATTTGCTTCAAATAATTATAAACAATCAACTCTATCTTCAAATGTGTAAATCTGAAAATCTGTGTTAAAATCTGTATTTTTCATGGGATAACTGATGGCTTCTGTGTTATAAATTTGTTATATAAATCTGTAAATGTGTTGAAATATGTAAATCTGATTTGAAATCTGTGTTGAAAATTAGCTATTGTTGGCTTCTTCATGGGACAACTGATAGCTTCTTCTTTTACTAATAATATCAAATTACAGAACTATGGCTTCTTCTTCTACTAATAATAGTAACATAATATTAAAACCAAGATTGTGTGATTGTGGGAGAACCGCGACGATGTATATTGTACGCACGAATGACAACGGAAACCATGGATGTTTGTTCTTTATTTGCTCATCGAAATATGTAAGTATCGATTATAGAATTTGATGTTTTACTGTGTACAAAGTTATTTATGTGATTTGATTAACTAATTCTTGTGAATTGTAGAGTCATAAAGAACACTGTAATTACTTCAAATTCACAAATGAGGATGAGGACGACAGTAGCTCGACAATTCGTTCTAATGTTGGATCTCGGAAAGCTATAAGAACAGAAGAGTTAAATGATATAAGGACAAGGCTTTATGAGATGGATAATGAAATTCATGAGCATGGTACAAGGCTTCATAGGATTGAGAAGAACTTCAAAATTATGATTTATGTTATTGTTTTTTGTGTCTTTTTGCACGTTATCATGTAAATCTCAGACTCTCTAACGTTTCGACGAATTTCATGAATGTAACCAAAAACTTCTTTCATATTTTGTATCTTTTTGTACTTAATGATGTAAATTACTGAGTTGTTAGATTTTGGGGAATTTCATGAATACCTGTCCTGTATGCTTCGGTGTTGTGTATGTGGATGAGTTTGTATGTTTTGTGATATTCCAACTCCAACCAGGCATTTACCAAATTTGAAGAGAACAGTGTTTGAAGAGAACAATGACTGTGTTGGTCACTTAACCAAAATCCTTTTGAGTTGGTCATGCAAAATATATCTCAGGTGCCTTTGATTATAGCAAAATTCAGACTTTCAGCTTATAGCATGACACTGTAAACCTTTCTGTGTCAAAACATCTAAACCTTCAAGATTGAACTACTCGTAAATCATAATTACACCCAATTGATCTGTCAAATTTCAACAACAATCTAAGAAGTGTCATTTGAAACTTAAATTTAATTAACTAATAACAAGTAACTGATCCTAATTTAACTCTTCGCATACTTCTGTCTGTTCCTTTACAACTACAACAATTGTCTATAACAACCTTGCACAATTAACTTTATCCAAAATAAAGGACTTGTATTATTGTGTACAACACTAGAATTTTCATGCACATCAGATTGTTCAACCCAGATACCAAATCTTGATCTCATATATAATACCAAAAATAAATGCCGAAGGTATACATTCTAGTTTTTTCCTCATCTTATTCTTTCCCTTTAATCGATTCACTATTCGATCAACTTGGTGTACACACCCCATTTTTGATGGCCCTTAAGACTTGGGATCCATTGATTGATCACTCAATGATGAATGTGTACGCTTATCAAATGCTTGACTTCCTCAGCAGGGGCAGGAAACCTTAGTTTTGAACCTACAAACCTTGTGCCTTATTTTGGACCAAAATAGTGGTTTTTTAGACCTGAGCATCCTGAGCATCCAGGGACTTGCAGACCCACTAGTGCGGCATGCCACTCACTAATGTGGCCTGCCGTCCACTATTAGTGGCCGACCGCCCACTAGTGCAAAAAACCAAATATTTTCTGCGAGTTGTCTCCACAGATGCATGCACCATTCCAGCTGTGTTTAAATAGATATTTCTGAGGGTCTCTCATATATTTTTATATATAGATGACCCTCTCTTATGTTTTAGAAGTTAGAAAAAATTTTGATCTTAGAAAATTTTGGAGAGCAAAATTTTGAAAAATTTCTCTCTCTCTCTCTCTCTCTTTCAACTTACATAACCTTTGCCTATACACTCTAAACCAAACCTAGAGAGTTCCTTGTTGAGGTGATTTGAGCTTGCATTTTAGCTCTTGAAACACTTGAGAGTTTGAAATAGTGGTTTGGAAATTTAAGGGATCATTCATCTTCAAGAGGTATACATTCTAGTTTTTTTGTACCATTTTTTTCCTCATCTTTTCTTACTGTTTTTGAGTTGTTTATTACCTATATTTTTGGACTGAAACTTGTGGTTTAAGGCCATTAAAGGTAAAGAGGTTGACTGTGACAACCCTCACCACTATTTACTGATAATACCACTGATCACTGCTAAACTGTGACTGAACATGATTAAGTAACTGATTTGACTGACATTCTGAATTGATTGATTGAGTGTATTAGTTTAAACGCATTTCTATCTGTTTGACCGTTAATTGATATGTTCATGTTTTAAGTGTCGAACTGTAAATTGAAGGCCTTATCGGCGGTCGAATCTGAAATAGATTAGTGTTTCATGATTATTAGAATTTATGTGATTTTATGGTAGATTTAATTGAAATTTGATTTGGTATGATTAAATTGGATTAAATAAACTAAATTACATAAGTTGGCTTTATTTACCTAATTGCCATTGAGTGGGTTATGCTAGGCCACTACTTCTCTCACCTTTAGCATTGTTTAGCACCATTTCTTCAGCCTTATTCCTAGAGCAAACCGAATAGAGAGAGAGAGAGATGGAGAGTATGAGAATTGATTTCAACCAAAATTGGCTTGGAGGCTTAGGAGTTTGAAGGATTCCTTGCATATTGAGCTTCTACATTTGAAATTGGAGACTTAAGGTAGAGAATTTACTTTCTTGTTTGTACATTCAAGTTAGTTCTTGCATGGTTCATGGTAGATAGGAGCCTAAGGTCATAGATTGGTCTTAAATTGTTGAATTAAAGCTTGAATCATGCATGCATGAACATATTCTTGCATTTTGAAGTTGTTTCATGAGGATTTCTTCATGCATGTTCATATTTTTGGTCTTGATCCATGAACTCACCATGTTTTGAAGTTAAACATTGCATTTGATCTTGTTTTGTAGCATGGGAGTTCCTAGGAACCCATGCATGTGTTGAATTTGCATTGTTCTTCATGTTCATGAAAACTTCTTTGAAATTTGTGTTCAATTGAACTACCTTTGGGATTTGATTTCTCAAATTGATCTTTGAAACATGTCATATTATGAGTTTACAAGTGTTTTCCAGGAAATTAGCCCAAAAGGATCGAATTTGATGCTTTAAAGTTGAGTTTTGAGCTTGAGGTTCAAATCTAGTCGCATTATGTATGCCATCTCATTTGTATCGTGTTTGGGATAGGAGTCAGCCCAAGCACGGGAAACGAGGGACGTTTCGTACTCCAAGTGACAGAACGTGTCTCAATTCCCGGTCG